CTAGTAGTAAGGCCAGGAGCCCCTAGTAGCGTCCTTGTTCCTAGTAGGGATGCTCTTTGCTCCTAGTAGCTTCTTGTTCCTAGTAGGAAGAAGTCAAAAAAGTAGCCTGGCCGCAGCCTACAATAGCCGACACCTCATTGGTTTGGGTGTTTCGATCACGATGACTATCACGAACACTAGAGGAACAAATCGGGGAGCAGAAGTCCAGTATTTTATCTGGGGATTTGGACTTTGCTTTGGCTTTTACTGATGTGGGGCGTGACTGAACACAGCAGATGCTCTTCGTTGAGGTGGCTGGATGAACGACTCTTGTCATTTATGCAGATCAATCAGCAAGAACCACCACAGGTACTGCGTGTGCAGCATCATCGCCATCGCAATAGCCATCACTACCATCAGCTTCATCACCACCCCCTCTTACTTAAGTTATCAAAAGCTGCCTTCCTCGTCTGCCAGGCGAAGTCTCAAGTCGAGCTCCAGTGGCAGTGCATGGTGCCGCCTGCCGCTTCCCCTTGGAGGGGACAAGCCCACTCGAGATGTGGGAGCAATTGACCAAGAAGACTGACGCTTTGCTTGGAACACCTGTTTGTAATGTGCTCATGGGAGGGCAGGCTTTCACTGGCTTTCACCCTTGAATGGAAAGTGACGATATCCGTTGGTGTGAGATGAGAAGCCATTCACTTGCCGATTGTCACCTAGATTCTTGTTGTTGGTTCGTTTGATGGACCAAATCCTGCTGCACTTGCAAGCATACGAATCCTGTTTGTTTGCAGTGAATTCGCATGAATTCGCTCTTCTTGGGCCCCCAACAGATTGACCACTGCCAACCACCAAAATGGTTGCGGGGTCACCTCTGAGCCCACACTAGCATCACTAGCAGTTTCAGAGCACCCGCAAGACTCCAACAGCAATCTTCGCGACAGGATGGAGTCACCGAGATCCCCTTGGAGCGATGGGATGTCGACCAATACTTTGATGAGGATGCAGAGACTCCAGGGATGATGACGGCGCCTGACCAGCAGCATTGTTTGTTAAATGGTAGGACTGGTGGATGGTGTTTGAAGTTGATGTCGGTGTCAAAGATATACATAGTTGGACCAAGAGATGTCGAAACTTTGAATGCAGGATTGCAGTAAGTCGAAATCGGAGGCAACTTGTGTGCTGAATACTTTGGCTTTTGGCTTTGGCGCTCTGCGCCCCCCGAATTTTTGCCCTCAGCTTTTCAACCGCTCATGAAAAGGCTGGCCAGCCCATTCGCTGAAACACGAGGTGCGCCATGGTGCCTTTGTGAAGAGTGCAGACCTCTTCGACGCGTCCTTCTTTGGGCTGAGCCCCGCAGAATCCAAGGCATGTGACGAGCTGCCTTCGTGGTAAGTGGGAAGTCCAACTTTTTCTTGGCATCGGGACGTGGCAGATGTTTTTATAGGGGTGGCGTGGTGATTGTTACAAGGAACTGAGAGAATTAGCTCCAGCCGCTTCAAGATGATTGTGGTTGACGAAGGTTCACAGATGTTTTTGGACTCTTCCAGTCCAGAGTCCCCAAAGCTTCTTCACTTTGTCAAGCCCACACAGTGGTATTAACACCACAATCAGAACTTTTTCGGTGGGCATGGTTCTTGGTGATCTTCGGACCTCCTGTGACGTCTTTTTGCTGAACTCGTCAGGTCATGGATCCTCAACAGCGGCTGCTTCTGGAGGCCGCTTCCCGCTGAAGGTTGTAGGTCTGTTGCATGGCACGGAATTGTGACACTTTGGAGGCTCGTGATACACATCACAAATCCAGAAGAATTGGACCTCCTTTTCCGTACAACACCCGGACAGGGTGACGACGGTATTTCTGAATTCACAACTCTGCAATTAGGGAACAAGAATCTGTCAGGTGAATCAGACAGAACCAATGGGGTGATGTGGAGGGTCGTTCCTAATGTGGACAAAGAACATTTTGTGGATTCCTTGAATCTGATATGGGAAATTGACTTCTTCTCCCAGTGCCTTTGTGTAAAACGTTCCTCTTATGTCTTATGTAAAGCAATGCAGCAACTCTGCGGGTTTCCATGGCTCGGCTTGGAAAGAGCAACAACCTTATGTTTCATGGGAAAGGCTGAAGTGACTCGATCCCAGTCTCTGAACATCATCAACCCTTTTTTCCCGCAGCTGCAGGTGATCTACCAGTCCTTCCATGTTTCAGGAAAGCCCATGGGCTCGTTGTCCAATCTGGATGCCAGCGTTTCTCGGACTGCTAAATTCTGCTTGCGTGCCCATGTTTGCACTCTAGTGTGATAGACTGATAGACTTTGTAGATCATCGTGCAGACACCCAGAAGAAGAGAACAACACCACGTGAACCTTTGCATAATTCCTCCAGTCCTCCAGTGTTCGTTTTTGACGGTTTGTGCGTTGTTCTTGTACGACCAGAGCTGTCCAGTGAACTCTTGCTGTTGAGTCCCTGTGCTTCCAAAAGCAGTCAGAAGCCAATGCAAAACACACGGCCATCGGAACTGGGGCTCCTTGTCATGGTTATATAGATTTGGGTCGATAAACAGGAATTAAGCAAACTACCTATGGACCTACATATATATATATATATACCCCAATTGAAGATCGTTTGAAGTATAAACCGATAGTGTATAAAGATCTATAAAGTAACAAGAGAACACCAAAAGATCTTTTTGATGCTCTTTGTAATGTTCTTCTGTTTTATGAATGAAAACCGCCAACCCAACCAACTCAACCAGTCGCTCAACTTCCTCCAAGGTTTGTGTCGGTCAATGCAACAATGACTGGGGTCACATGGGCTTCAGCGGCTCTGTCGAAAGCTCCGAAAAGAGCCTCGGTCGGGTCATTGAGGTACCGCAAGACTGAACCAACGTGACGTGTGAATCTTGTGATGACTTGCAGGTAGTGAAGTTGTGAGGGCCGAATGGACATGTTACATCGAGTGGTACATGGCTCATTCACTGTCCTTGCAACCTGGGGCTCCAAATCTGCTGTTGTCAGTCAAATAAATGCCTTAAACAAAGGTATACAAACTATAGACTGTCCAACCTGCGCAGAATCATGTCCCCGACTTCCTTTTGTTGCGCTGCCCACTGCCCACCACACAGGATTGGTCCTTACACCGGCCTGGCGGTTTCCACGTCGATCTCCTCCAATCGGGTCTCCTACTTGTTGGGCTTGAAGGGTCCATCTGCCACGGTGGACACGGCATGCTCTTCCTCTTTGGTGCCTGGGATGTGCGTGAAGGGTTCAAAAAAAAGAGGTTCGAAGAGTCGGAGTATCTATGAAAAGCGGACCTAGCTGCAAGACCTTGTTGGGGTCAAAAATAGAACAGGGCGGGAAACGACTATATAAATCCTTTCAGAGACACTCAGGGGGACAAAAGTACTGCACGGGAAGAGTTGTGAAGCTGCCATAACGTGGTCCCCGCACACGTAGCTGCAGTGAATGCACGTGAATCTTCTTGTAAACAGTGTTTGGAAGCTACAATATATCCAGGACTCACTGGAATCACTAATTAAGAAGCATCAAACTTGGTAGCAGTCAGTGGTAATCATGTGCTGATTACAAGCGAACAAGGCCGAGGAAAACCACCTATGAGCACATCCTCCCTCGTTTCTTCCATGGCCGGCAACACTTGCACATGTTCGGTTTGCCTGACAGGCCCCGCATTGAAGGCCAACTGAGGCTCCTCCAATCGCTTTTAGTACAGCAGTTCATTCACCTTCATCAATCCTGGACCCGGTCGGGCCGCACTTTGTACCTGGTAACTAGGAGTCGCTCGACTTTTGCCTGCGTTGAATGACAGGGGGTCTCCACGCCACCTCCGCCCCTTCAGGTGGCTGTGGACATCGTGGTGTCCAACCTGCGGAGGGGCCGGAGCTCCACTGGAGCGGCTTCTGGTGTGAACTTGTGTTGCTTGGTGAGCTGGGAGAGAACCGATGAGAAACGCAACCCCCCAACAGCTTGGACACAGAATGGAGGCCCTCGGGTAGGCAAATCTACCATGGTTCGGGGCTATGAATTCCCATGTAATGTATAGAAAGCCTTGGAAGTCAGGATAGGAGCCATTGCTGGGTAGGAGGAGCCGGAAAATACTTGTTGATCTGGTACCGGCCATACCCACTTGGGCTGAGCAGAGGATAGCTTTTTGGCCTAGAAGGCGGATGAGCAACGCACAAAAACCTGTGATTTGTCCACGGATAGCTTCATCAGATTTGGACTTTGACTAGAGTTGCTGATCAAATTCAGTAGTGGGCCAAACAAACCAGACTTGCTCAGGGTCTTTCACGCTTGGCATTAAGCACTCAGATTGTGGACCCTAACATGTAAACTGTGGAGCCGTGGAGTCAAAGAGAGCAATTGAGAATATGATCCAAACCCGGGAACTCTCAGGGAACACTCAAGGTAATGCAGAGTGGATGGAACAACCTCCCCAAGAGTAGACACTAGGCCTTGGATTTGTCTCCTTGCCACTTGGCAGTTGACAAAACTTGATGACTATTTTTCTTGAAGAGCCATGCTGCTAGTTGCCCCTCCAAAAAGTCAAGTGCAAATCATTCGCCCAGCCGATTTCACGTAACCCTTATGACGCGTCATCAATACCGCTCCAAGGTTTGATCCCTGGGCCCTTTGTGGCCTGCAGCAAGGCTCACATGCTCTCGGAGGCCACATGGGGAAGAGTCTGAGTCCTTCAGCCCACACCTCCTAAGCTCTTGCGGCGGTGATCTCAAGACCTTGGTATACCTGGGTCCTCGTAATGGCGTCTCCTCATTTGCGAATCTTAGAAATGTAGGCCACGAGTAATTAGTTCAGCATGGAATAGTGATAATGTCTGCCATTTGCATGTGATCAATGCACGTAGAAGTCAACGGAGCTGCCCCTAACATCCGCTACTCCTTGTATATGATACATTATGATACTAGACTATACTAGACTAAATTATGTATTGTATATTTACAGCATATCAACCTACGCCAGAATTTAGGACCTTATTAGTAACACCTGCTTTGGAGATAGGCTCGGCTTTGTACAACCTTCTAAACAGATGGCATTTGATCATGACATGTTGACTTGAAACAACAGCAGGAATGCCAACAACTGTGTTATGGGGGGAAGCCTCTTTTACTACTGTGACAGCCCCACTGCACCTTGCTATATGGCGATCCAACATCGTCGTAGAACCTAATTCGTTGAGGATGTTTGGCCTTCCAGCTGTGCACAACAGCAGCTTTTTGTTCAATCAGGGACTCTTATGATGGCGGTTTGCATCACTTCACCACCTGCAGGATGGCCGCTGCAAGACCTTTGATGCCTCGGCCAATGGCTATGTGCGCGGTGAGGGTTGCGGCTCTGCAATCCTGTCGTTGCTGGATGCCCGGCGCAGTTGATGAGAGTTTCAATTGGTAGCACCATGAGGGTTTGACTTGGTGTACCCCTGTGATGAAACAAATCTGTGGTGGGTCATGGCAATCACCGCTAAACTTTGACGATGCGAGCCGCCATGGAACATGTCATGGACGTCGGCACAGAGCAATGACACCCCAATCTGGTGTTTTTGGTCCAAGTTTGTCTGTTTGACCCTGACAAGCTGATACACGGTTTACATGCAACTCCACATTTGGGGTTGAGCAAGCTCCAAAACATTGTATCATATTGCTGAATGAACCCACCTCGTTGGAGAACCAGTGCCAACTCTTTCCTCTTATTGATACATAATTGTGGGCGAAACCTGATGTTTAATTCGAGCTCTTCTAGAACAATAGAAAAGGCTGTTTCTAGAACCTGCCTCCTTTCAGAATGGTTTGCCTGGCCCCAAGAAAAGTGCCTGGTAAGGCTCATTGCTCGCCGGGGATCTTGGAGAGTGCGCCCCACTAGAGGATTCTTGACCTGATCTTTTCAGCCTCCGTGCTCAGGATGACAACTCTACTCCCATCATCTCCCTCAAAGGCACCGCCGTGAACCAGGACGGGGAGTAGGGTTTGTTAGGTTACGGTTATGTCCTTCACCAGACATGCTTCAAGCATGTCCAAATTGTATTTTCATTGATTTTGAGAAGGGGTCCCGAGTCCCTTAGTGTGGAAAGCTTTACTATGCTTTTCACCGGTGATGGTGACCCTCATATCATCTTATAGATGATAACACTAACACATCATAACACTCACCCAGTAGAGCAAGAGCCTGTTTGACTAGCTCTTTTTTTGTTGTTTGACATGTCAGCTTGGGACTCTTTGCACGATGAGGTCTAGGGGTGGTGAGTAATTGCATAGCTTGTCCTATCGTGGGAGTGACAAGTTTGAACACTCTGAGAGAATTCGCTTACCATGTCAACCGTTGGATTGCTGCTTGTATCTATCGCAGGACCAACACATGGTAACAGATACACCTATTTCTCGTTCAGTAGCCGTAGCAGTCATCCATTCATTTGACTGGAGAGCCATCAAGCACCCATTCCAGTGACCCCGCCAAACCATTTATAATAATTATAATATGTAACTACTTCTCGCACAGAGGTGTTCTTTCCGATAAACGTTTTGTCCTGAATGATGACGATGCGGTGAGTAATCTTTTTTTGGGACGTGATTTTTCCGCCACATGGGATGCGAAAAAGGTCCCCTTGATTGCAATTTGGGGCAATTTGGTCAATTCCTTGTGCGTGCTGGGAACATCGACCAACCTTGATGTTCCCTAGGTTGGGGGGGTCGCAACATTTGAATACTTGACAGACTCTACACATGATCCTGCTGTCTATTTCTGTGAGTTTTGGTCGCCAGTCTTTCCCCGCTCAAGCCACTTCCTGTAGTCTGTAGGCAGAGACCGGCAGACCAGTATTACCTTGGGCTTTTGAGTCTTCGGGTATAGCCTTGGACCTGCAGATCTTCGCATCGCACCTGACCTTGCGCACACCTCGCACTTCGCTTGGACATCGTGCCAGGACGGTCGCAGCTCCTCGCAGACGGCGCCGCATGGGCCCTCACAACAGGCGGTGATCATAACTGCCCTGAGTGAGGCGCAGGTCGAGCCCGGAAAGGTGAGTGCTATGGAGACCCATGGCACTGGGACTGTGGCCTGGTAGCATAGCGACATAGCCATGATGGGCCATGGTGCCGCAGTCCGCAGAGACACCAAATGACTTGACCTGTTTCTAGGTTGGTTGGGCACCTGAGTATTTGACCCCACACCGATGCACCAGGCTGAAATCCGATGTAAGAACCAACATTTGAATTGAAATACTACTGGATTGGGCCTCTAGAGTCCTCAGGCATCCTTTGGGTCCACAGAAGTACGACCTTCAAAGCCCGGTAAGGTCCGGCAAGATTGAAACCGCTTCCTACTGGTATATTCTATTGTTTACATAGACAAGTAGGCAAGGTCTCCCGCATAAGAAGATAGATCCACCTACCAACTGGCTTACTTCCTTCTGTGGTGAAATGATGCCCTCACCAAGGCCCTGGGCGATCCCATTGAAGTGGGAGCTCTGAAAAACACCTACGGTGAGCAGCGCAGCTCGCCTTTGGCGCTGTGTGCGGTGAAGAGCAACTTGGGACACCTGGAGGGTGCAGCTGGCATGGCTGGCATGCTGAAGGCGAGCTGCATCGAGCTGAACTGCTGGATGCTGACACCCTGGAGAGTAGGCGGTAGGAGGGTAACCTGGGTTCAGGCAGATTCACAAAGTATCACAAAGTGTGGCAGGTCGTGCGTAAGACTGGTATCGGATGGGGGTTGCAGGCCAGCCATTTCTGAGTTGAGGGCTTTTCGGAGCCGTGAAGGCCAGTATTTGGGATGAAACGTCATCCGTATTTAAAACTGCTGCACCTCGGAGGAACGTGGCAACTGACCATGCCCAAACAATGGAAGGGTGCGGTTGTTTTCTCCGGACGTGACTGCCATGAACACCAGGTGATGTCCATGTTGCCCAAGAAGCAGGCACCACCAAACTTGCACTTTCAGGCGGGCCGAATGGCTTAAAGGATTTATTGAACGTATTGAATTTGATCTAGAATTTATATAGAAGGGGGCTGAGCTGAACAGGAACAGACGTTGGCCTCACGCTTTTCAGAATTTTGCCGAACTGTTGGAAGCAAAAACCATCAAAAGCCGTTAACCCGCTTGTCCAGTATCTGAGACTGCTCCGTGCCGCTTTTTTGTGGCCTGCTTTGAGCCGGTCGACCCCGTCCCAGGCGCTGAATCCTCATTGCGACTTAGAAGACTTCCCCAGCTTCATCCCCTCAGAGACGTTGATGACACTTTCGGCAGAGAACGCTTCCTCCTCCGGTTTGTCCTCTTTTGGATTTGGAGGCGCAACTATGCCACAGATTGTCTGGCCCGGGCCGAGTCTCTATTCCTTGGGAGGGTAGACAAGGAGCCAAAGGTGAGGAGGCCCAAAAAGAAGAACACACTTTTTTTTCATTTCTTCACAGCCAAAACGACAACTTCACAAGATTTGTGGTAGTCACACAGGTTCCTGGCGGAACCAGGCCTCCAGTTTTGCTTGATGCCAATTGAATGGCTTCGGTTTTGATTGGCGGGGGCCGTAAAAGTATATTGACTCTTGTACTACTCTTGTACCGGAAGTTTTGGATAGAAGGAAACCTGAGGCAGCCGGGCAGTCGTGTAGGAATCAAGTTGACACTGCCAGAGCTGTTATGTTCTTTGAAGAAATCAAGCCATTTGTGAAAGACCAGCAGATTTCAGCAAAGGTTTGTAGTGTCTACCACATCTAGTGTTTCCCCCCCAATTATATAGATGGACATAATTTCGAATCTGTCTAGTCTGTCTAAGAATAGTAGGCAGCTGGGGATAGATATTGTCAGATTAAGTTTTTTTTTTTGTCTATACAATCCTGTACTTGACAGGGTAAAAACATGGTCTCAAGTGTACACGTGGCTCCTCTTTGAGTCAGCCCAATCTCAATCTCTGTGCGCAGGTACAAATACCCATGTGCTGCTTGAAGACTCTGCCAGTCCAGCAGCTGTTGTTGAAGCTCCAGTTTTCAAGCGCCAGTCATTCTCTTGGCAACAAAGGCAGGGACCCGCGGATCACATCCATACTTTCCTGTTAACGCCGGAAAATGGATGGCAAGTTTTGCCATGTTTGGCATGAACATCCGTGAGATCAATCTTTTCTGGAGTGAACAATGTGTGGGCTGCAGGGATTTGTGTTGGAAATCATATAGGTTTACCATTCGATGGAACATAAGTCAAGCACTACATTGTAGAGTTTGGACAATGTGTTGCCAAGTGGGAAGTTTGATCCATATTTTGATAGCTCCACCAAAAGATCCAAAAGAAACATCAGCGCGGAAGGACACAAACCGTTCTGACATGAAAAACCAATGCAAATTATCCCTTTAGTAGCTTGACAACCTCACTAGGTAGAAGAACGTCATGTCACGAATACTTTCTTTAGACAATTATTGCCAGGGCTCCCCACTATCTTCTGGGAATGTGTTTTTGGTGGGTGACTGGAGGGTCTATGTTCTCAGGTGCGAGTAGGGTCAATGTGTTCTCATTGACCGCTGTGATAAACTGACCAGTGGATACTTGTTGGGATTTTGGTTTACTGTAGTTGTACTCGCAGCCAGCAACGGCTGCTTACTGCTCAACTAAGACTTCTTGGTACGGTCGCTTGCCAAATCTCTCCTCCAGGCGGCATGCCTTGCTCCAGCGAAATCTCAAGACACCTGAGGGCGTGCAGGTGCAGACGTTTGGAGCATGGACACCTCTAAGTTTGTTTGGAAAGCTTAGAGTGTTGGAGGGTCCAGTTGTACTTCGATTTCGACGAGAATACGGAGAATACCGCATAAACCCTTTTTGGAAGGGTGTTGGGGCTGGATGACGCTTGGAGAAGGTTTTGATGCCTTAATGTCGAAGCTAGTGTTCCTCACACAGTCACCTTGTGGTTTCGGTATCAACAGAGGGCAAGTTTCACATTCCCCGAGCTTCCTGACAATGCCTCGTAAAAGGTCCCTTTCCTAACATGTTCCCGGTATCCCTTCAACAGGATCCTGGAAGCCAATGTTCAAGCAGCGACCCCGGACCATAGCCTCTTTGTGTCTTTGGCAAGGTCTTTGCACAACCATTTGCTGGAAAGTTGCTGCAACTGGTCAGTGGCGAAGCGATGATTCAGCAGTTGACAAGGGCTTGTGGTCCTTCGAACTTACTCGTTGGGCATTTTACTGTAAGATATTTTGAGATTCTTGGTGACCCCAGTCTTTGTGATCCACTACCAAGGCCTTTGGGCATCTCGTTTCGCAACCGACCATGTCATGTGATTCTGCATTCTACGCTGATACTGCTGTGAACGCCGGTATTCCCTCGACAAGGGACAAACTCCGCCACTGGAATACGACAAACAGAGTGTCACGTTCTGGATGACTGGCTTCTTGCACAATGCCTTTTCTGGATGCCAGAGAAAAGGCAAAGCCTTGTGGTGAGGGGGAACAGTGCAGCGGTATCCGGTGCATTCTCTATTCTCTACTAAGGGGCTTGCCACACATGTGAACAGTGTGCTTAGGTTTCACCCATGATGGGTAGTGGTTTTGGTTTGGGTGATTACGCATTACCAATTTGTTGAAATAGTGCCTAGCGCCGCCACACCCAGGTCATCACATCATTTTCGGTGAAATTGTGGTTCCTGGTGCCACATACTTGGAGATGGTGCTGGCAGCTGGCGAGTTTCACCTGAATTGCAAAGACAAGCAGTGGAGCATCCGGAAGGCGGGACCAACCCTTCATGGACCTCCGCAGATAGATTTGACCATTCTCGTAACATATCGGAGGAATCCGCTGTTGTAACGCAGTGCCGGGTTGCACTCACTCGTCGAGCCTCAGAAAGACCACCCAGTGCAGGTTGGCTTTACAGCACCATTGGTGCTGAAGCAGGGTGAAGAGGGAAAGCTGGCGTGTGAGGTGGATCTGAGTCTTGTCAGCAAGTGCTTGGGGCAGGCAGAAACCGCTGACGCTTGGAGTTCATGCAGGTCAGAGAGGACGCCCATCCTGGAATCCTGGATGGAGTGTTGGTGTTGAGGTTGTGTGGTGAGACCAAAGTTGTTCATGTTTTGACGGGAGGTTCTCCAGCGAGATGTGGGATTCAGATGGATTCAGGCTGTTTGCTGTCCAATTGAGTCCTGATGTTGGGAATTTCCAGAATTGAATTCACGGGGAAATGTTAGGGTGCAACTTGGTGGTCTCACAACGAAGGGGGGTTCCGAAGCTCAAGACACTCGCGTTAGCCTTGTAGTGATTGATTCGGGAAGCCTGACGGGCGTGACTCAGACTAGCTGCAGAGACCAAAAGTCGTTTTCTGTGTCTTAGAACGCCATTTCCTACAGTTGAAATGAGCAGCTGTTCACATCCAGGTAGTCATGTTTGACCTTGTTCACTTTACTCCAGGCTTCTCTGGGAGACTTGGAGTTAAACCTCGGATGATCTTGCATGCAGGTCTTTCTCTATTTCATGACATTGACATCCGTCTTTTGATTGAGTTCGAAAATGATAAACAATCTTGAACGAAATGTGTAATTAGAGTGTAGACTGCCGGAAAGGCTTTCAATTGGCACTCAACTCCCTAAGAGAACGCTGCAAAATAAGGGCAATTGGGCGTCATCAACGGCTTTGGCATCGGTTTTGGCAATCGGATGACAGAGATTTTGTAAGATTAGGACACATTCACTGTACATATTTTAAACATTTAGAAACGCTAAGAATTGGATGATCAGTGATCAGGTTCTTCAGAATGTCATGCGAATAACGGTGCAACGCGGACTGCAGCACAGAGACACTCAACCCCCCAACCCCGGTTGATTGGTCGCCCGTAACTCTGTGAATCCTGGTACAAACTTTACCGTAGTCGCCGTAGTCCACCATGGCCACTGCTGGAGGTACTTGGAGCTCTTCCCAGACCAGCACTGGTCGATGAGCAGTTACGATCCCAAAGAGCGTAAGAAATTGGCCACGCACGCGGAGGGCGCCGCTGGGCGTAGATGGGGGTGAAGATGGCGAAGATGAGTTTCAGGAATTTTCAAGATGTATATTTCTTCAGTGGTGGCCCATATAGTTCCAAACATGATGGCCCTAGAAACGAGCGTATTTCCACAGCTTCTGGTGCAAAAAACGTCGAGGCCAGGTGAAAGTGACTGGCCAGTTTTGGAGGCTGCAGACTTGTATAAGTATTCCAAGGCAACTATATTTGGGGAATTCCCTTCAATTCACTACGACTTTGATTCACTCAGATCAAACAGAATTGATGACCGGGTTGACCTGGAAGCCTCCTACTCCCCAACATGGCTCCCAAAACGCTCATGCCGAGTTTGTGTTTCAGCTGAGGATTTGGACTTGAGCTTCCAAGAGCCTCAGTATCCCTCTTTGGATCTCACCGAGGCACTGTGCCGCTCCGGGTGAAGTCATACAGACATGCCGTCACATTCCTAACTGGGAGAGAAGGGAGATGTGCAAGAAGTCGACTTATTTCGAAAGAACTTGCAATTTTTGGTCCTGATGAGAGTGACCTTCAGTACCGCGTCATGCAGAAGCCGTGAAATTCACACTCATGCAAAGGTGTGGATCCGACGTCTGGGGAGTTCTGTCGCATTCCATGGATAAAATCTGTGGTTGCGGGGGTGACACATTATGAAGAAACGGTTCGGAATTCGCTACGTCCAAGAGGCGTCCATGGCAGACGAGGGCAGAAAAGATTTGTCATCTCGACAAATTGTTGCAGTGTTTCCCGAAAGTCAAGAGCGCCGTGATTTGCACGCACCGTCACAGGTGCGCCAGCGCTGTGACGAGGAGGTGAGTATTGAACGACTCTATGTGACCCGGCAAAAACTGCCCCGTTATGAGAAAACAGGAGAAAACCATAGAAATCCCGAGCTAGGATAGCTAGGGTTGCCATTGGTTGGGCCTGCTCTCAAGTTTCACACAGACCCTGAAAGTCTAAAGACAATCCTTTTCCCTGGTGAAGCAAAGGACATATATTATAGTAGATACAGGACATATGTTTATTGGGGTTGCCTAAAGACTTTTTTTTTGTCTTGAACTGCGAGTTGGGACATAATTATATACACAGACCTACTTTCAGCGAATTGCTCTACTATATTCTACTATGCTCTACTCTTGACGATGTGAGCCGACCTTGTTATATAGTAACAACCGACGGCTGCTTCCGTGACTGGGGACGAGCATTCGGCATAAAGAGAGAAAGCACAATGGTGAAGTAGTGATGTGTTTGAGGCTCTTACCTTACTTGGGTGAGTACAATGTTTGTGCTATCAGTAAATTCCCATAAATCCACTGATGTGTCCTTGCGGGTTCAGACTGGACAGTGAACAAGTTCCATCTCAAACACTTGGTTTGGGATTCTTCCCCCCTAAGATTTGTTACAAAAGTCTACTTTTGGAAGGTTTTCCAGATCTGCAGGAAACTCCCTTCTTCAGTATCGCCTCAGCACAGCATTGCTAGATGCCATTCTTTCATCCTTGAGAGAACTCCCAAACTTCCAGGTCCACTTTACTCGACAGCTGAGATCTCTTCAGTCTCATGGCAGACTGCGCCGGATCTCCCACAGACGCCGCTAGAACCGAGATCGTTTCCATTGTCGCGCCCTTGGCAAAAGATCGAGGTGCCCTTCTCCAAGATTGGTTTGCCACTGCAGCCGCGCTTCCGCACTGTCCGTCACATCCTCCGTGGAGAGAAGGAGGCGGCGTTTGGGCTTGTAGGTCTTCACCCAAAAGGTGCAACAAATCTGAAAGATGTGGAACAAACACAGGCAGTCCATTTGGTCAAGCTCGGAAGATGGCCTTCAAGATTCAGGCAGTCCGTCTTGATTGAATCATTGAATGCCAGACTTCCATGTTGGCCAGTGCATATACTGACTACCAAGCGACATCTATACACTTAAGACTAAGACTAAGACTAACCAGCGTCTTGAGCTCGAAATGGCATTCTTTTGATAGAAGCTTTGGGTGTTCCCCTTCCCTACATCGTTTCTAGGTTGGCGGCCAACGCTCTAGGGTTGGAGGCCATCGCTCTTAGGTTGGAGGCCATTGCTACATATTGGTTTTCAATCGACGTTGACCCTACTCTGAGAGGGTCATTGACAAATCGGATGGGCTCAAATCGGCAGGTCCTCGCACGAATTGCGGCGCAAGATGATGGCACCAATAGTGGGTACCTCTTCAATCCCGCTGTCATCGACCCGCGGCCACAGACAAAATCCTGCAAACGGTGGCAAGGGCATATTTATTTTGTAGAAGTTGGATGAGACCTCACTTATGTTTGCGCAGCATTCTGTTTTCATGTTTTTTTCAATTCAAGTGAGTCAACATTGTGAAGAGGAGACAAGGTGCATGCTGAGTTGGATTGGGGGCAAATCATCAATCAAGCTGTTTTTTCAGAGGGAAACCACATGAGTTGGTGGGCTCCCTCTAGCTGGACCCTTCAATACCCAAAGCTCAAAGCACAGGTTTAGTTGCAGAGAAGATAAGCCCGCAAGCACGTACCGACCATATTCGGCACGCTCAGGATGGCACCTTCCAGGGCAGCATGGCCTTTATGTTGGAGCGGTACAGCAAAGAGGTGCGGTGTGTGGGAGCGAATGGTTGCTGGTGCCGAACTTTCTTTCTGAACCCCTCCAAACTCTTGATCAAACCCAGAATATGTTGGGCAAACTCCAAAACTATTTGGGAAGACTCAGCCAAGATCCTGGTCAGATACGTCCAAAGGAACACAGCCGGGGCTGACCAGCCGACCCCTGAGGTGGATGGCCTGAATTCCCTTCGGATTCCGCTCATGGTGCAGAAGGTCACGCACTATGCACAAGGAGAAGCGGTTTTTGCCTGGAGATCTTGCCTTGGATGCAAACGAAACCTTGAGAAGCATCCAACGGCCAGCCAGATGGGCCGTGAAGAAAGGAGAAGCAATAAGAATGGAGCATATTGCATTTGATTGAGCTTCATGCACGCATTCTTTTGAAGCCTCAGCTAGCTGCTGGGAGTTTGGAGTATAGTTCATTGGTAAGGAACTATCCCAAATGCAAGGATCCCGCACTGTACATTCAAGAGCATCTCACAATCTGTATGATTTTTTGTGTCCACAATAACTTGTGGATCCTAAATCTAAGATGGTCAAATCCGGAGTCTCCTGATACGCCATGGCCCCATGGCACTCAAACGGTTCGGCCATGGTGGCTGTTGGCAGCTGGTGAAATGAACAGCACGGCAGAAAAGACATGAACTTGGCGCGTCTCTGAACAAACACTGCATGACACTACCATCCAAGGCGTGACATGCAATTACAAAAGCACAACTGGAACATCATGTCCCAAGCCCCTATGTTTTATTCATTTCTCTAAGTGGTCCTGGTTCTCCAGGAGCTCAGACTGACATCTTTGTCCACCACGAGCTGGTAGAGATCACCGATCGGGAGAATTGCGTGAATTCCAAGCTCTGCAAAGAGGCCATCATTGAAGTCAGCCAACGAGGGGACCATGAGTTGAACTGGCCATGGGTTTGGATGAGATTGGATGAGTTACTGTAGTTGAATTGAAAGCTCGAACAGGTGGGGTGGTACCTGATTTGGGGTCGGTTGAGGTTTGATTTTCTTTGGTTTGCGACATTTTGAGCACCGCACCCTGGGTGGATATCCAAACCTCTATACACAGCTGGTTCTTCAAAGTGTCCTGTTGGGGGTTGTTGGGGGGCAAAGTGACCTCAAACTGAGGCTGAACAAGCGGTGAAGAAACACAAAGAAATGACCACCGTGGCGATATAATATAACCAGGCCCTAACAAAGCGTTTGATGCGTGGTTTCCCAAATGACATGAAAAAGGGATCTTTTCTTCTGGGAAACTGAAGGGGTCGGTTGACGTACCGGAGAACACCCAAATGCATCCTCATGATAACAGGACGGAGGCAACGGTGAAGAGAACCTTTGGAACAGGAGTAGCTGGGAGAGAAGATTTCGAACATGCTGCACAAACCACCAAGATTCCCTTGTTCGTGCAGTATTTACTACCAGGAATTGGGCATCCCAACGCGTCCACAGGATATATTTGGTAGTGATAGAGAGGTTTCGTTTATCATCAGCATTGCTGTTATTGTTGTTGTTGTTGTTGTTGCTGCTGGACTGTGGCAGGATGGTACTGCCATGCTTGGCTTCGAGACGCTTAGGCGCAGAGAGCCATTGCTACTTTTGTGTCGTGCTGCGAAGCCCTACACAAAACAGCCAGTTCTGTCCGGTTCTGTCCACTTTCCGTATACCAAAAGCACTTGTGCCTATGACCTGCTCAATTGGCCGTGATGCGCATCAAGGAACCCTGCAGTACAAGGGTCTCAGCATATGAGGAATCAGTTGCACATCATCCCAGAGAAATAAAGGATATCGAATCGTTCCCACTAGTTCCCTCAAGCAAATACAGCACCCTGCGATGCTCGAGTTGCACAACTGGAGCAAGATTTCAATTCTCCAGCTCTCCATCCTGTACATTCAAGTTTCAATCCTATGGAGAATCCACCGCAGCCCAAAAATTCAAACCTCCAGGCCATTGAATCCCATTTCACAGTCCAAGCGATTTCGCGTGTCAGGTTCCGGGAGGTTCGGCCAGAGCATATCGTAGCCTTGGCGGCAGAAGTCACGACGTTTGGAATTGATGAACACCATGACTCACTGGCCCATCCACTCCAAACCCTTGGCTTCTAGTGGGGCTTGGAGGTCCAACAAAAGGGAAGAGTTTATGATTCATCGCATGACCGCCCCCAGTCCTCCGGAGTTGAATGGCTGAAAAACAAACAGAGGAACACACACCCCTGAGCTCGAGGGTCTGGTGAAACGTTCTGAATCTGTTCGGCCATTGGGGTCTCGATCGATCCTAGGGTTTCATGTTGTCCGGTGCAGGGAAACTTAAGACAGTGAAAGGAACTTGAAATTAAATCGCTGCAGGCAATGGAACATACAAGATTTGCTTGCAGTGTGGACGGTTGGATGCATGACAGTCTGTGGTTGAGGACAAGGATAGACCTGAGAACATGAGCCCCAAACTTCACACTCATGTTTGGACACGAGATCACCGAGATCACCTAGTTGGACACCAACAATGTGCAGAATTCTAGTTTCTGTTCAGGCATCAGACAGACAAGCAGCCATTTGTGGTACGATGGCTTTTACCTTCACAGTAACCATGGCCTTTTGAAAGAAAAGATGAAAAGTGAAGATTCGGCAGGAGCTCGTTGAAGATGTTTAAGGTAGCAGCGAAACTCGCTCTTCGTCCCAGGCCAAGATGCTGCAGCAAGCCACTGATGATGTGGAGGAAGATATCCTCCAGGCGTGCGGAAAGACATTGCGATATAGCAAGGTGTTGCAAATCCTAAATCCATCTCAATCCTCAAGCACAAAGACCCACCCATCCCTAGCAATCTGTCCATTCATTCACCCAAAAGGGCCGCCAGAACCGTTTGCGGTTCATTGGGAACGATTGATCAGGTGGAGTGGAGTGCCTTGGAGGGCACGCCGGCAGTGGCCAAAGATGGCGCCGGAGTGCTCTTTGTGGGCCGGGAGCCACGGATCAGTGGTGCTCTTGAAAGGGAGGAAGAGATGGCTGGAGGCAGCAAGGGCCGGGAAAAGGGAGGAGTTGGGTTTGGATCAAGCCATGTAGATTTGAACTTTCAGTGTCGGTTTTCCTGACATCCCTTAACAAGCACAGTCCCTGATCCTGCCTTCATTACCAGGCTTCATGTGCCAAATCCAGCAGGTATCCATGCATCCCAAGATCTAATGAGGTCAGCAACGGACGTCAAGGTCTGAACAGGTCAGCAGCTGACCCGGCTGCTTGTTCACAACCCAGGTGCCCCAGTGGACTTGGTCTCTGCCTTGGCTCAAAAGTTGCCGAAGGTCGGAAGCTCAAGCCCGGCTTCGTGGTCGTTCTGATTATGACCGACCTATTAAAAGATTAGGGCCTGGTAGAGGGCACTTCACTACAATTAAATTCATTTAAATACTATTCAAGTGGATATTGAATTGAAATATACTGTATAGTTCCTCTATTTTGAATGTGCCTGAGACATTGGTTGTTGGGAATGTACCGTATGCGCCAACACCCTGCCGGAGAATAGACTAACACAAGCATTACATACATTGGTGGTTTATCTTATTTGCGGGTACACCTTACTGTATCCCCTCATGAGCAATTGACAACAGTGAACAGTTTCTGTTTAATTGTTTTACAGTTTGTGGTCCTCGTGCATTAAAAACAATTGAGAACCAATTGAATTTGTCGAACAGGGAGACGCCCGAACCAGCGGCTTTGGTTTGCATATCTGGCTGTGGCTATGGTTCAAAACCGTGCGACCCTCGTGGACCTCACCAAAGGAAGTAGATCCCATGGTTTTGTGGGGCCAGGCTTTCATGGATGGGTAAGTACCGACAAAGTGTCTTTAAACTTTGGGAGCTGCTGGGTTTTGCTGAAGACTGGTAAGGTCATTGCCTTGCTTGTACGGCCCAACATTGGTGACCGAAGCATCCCAAACCCTTTCCGATCTCGGGCAACCTGATTCGTTTGACCAATTCTTTGACGATAGAGTGGGCGAAGGGAATGCCACTTCTGGCCCCGACGCACCTGCCCATGCAAAGGCCAGCTTTGTGGAGAAGGCGAATGAAGTAGAGATCAAGGGGCTGAAGGCTGTCATCCACTTGGCTGCCTTAGAGGTGGGACGACCGCTGTGCCGACCATTGGCTGATATGTTTTGAACAAGTCCAGATCGGACCCTCATGACTATGGGGTTTGGGGATCTATGAAGAACTTCCTTGCATTGGTTTGTGCTTTTGCAAGCCGTTGGGATATCCTGTTGACTTCATCTTTGATGACCATAGATGCTGGTGAGTTCCTTGCAACCTTTTCAGGTTCCAAAGACAAGCCAGTGGTTTTCTCATGTTTTCTAGCTCACTTCCAGTCTGGTGCAAAACTTCACTATATACTATATACTCAATACCAGGCTGTTGCATTTGAGCTGGCGGAAAATAAACATAGCTACCTGGAGGCGCATGGGGTTGTTATGTGATGGAGTGCAACCACTGCAAACCATTTCATTTGTCATGGTGCCACCGTGACCGACCCTGTAGCAACAATAGTCTGAGACAGGGAGACCCATGGAGATCCTCATTCAGACATCAAACCTAGTAGCGATGGCCTCCACTCTAAAAGGATGGCCTCCACCCTAGTAGCGATGGCCTCCAACCTAAAAGCGATAGCCTCCAACCTAATGGAGATCCTCATTCAAGTCAAAAGGACCTTTTTTGTACGTAATTATCTACCTGGGAGAAGAAACCTCGTGCTGCATGGCGAGTGAGCATGGAGATGACTCGATGGAAGATATTCCTGTGAAGAGATCGAGCATGACAAATCTGCCGCCCAGCCTGGCTGAAAGCTCGCAAGACGTGGCAAAAGCACGTGGAGAGATCACTGAAGATTTCAGTGAGGCAGTTGTTCTGGGTAAATCAAGAATGACAGATTTGGTTGACGACCCGCTCGCCTTACTCGTTGACAGAATGACTGTTTTCTTGGCCTCCATGAAAGCGCGGAATGTGTGACGCATTTGGGTTTTTCACTTCTTGCAAGTTTTCCCATTGTACTTGTTGCAGGGAGATACTATCTCCCTGCATGGATTCAGCCAAGCAGCCACCCAGCTGGATGAGTTTTGGTCCCTCACCTGGAGGGCACCAGCATGGACGAAGTATTTCAATGTCCTGTGCCTGCAGATTAGCCTTGCCGCCTCAGCAGTAGGGATAGCTTCAGGCATCTTGGGTTTGGTTCTTCATCGCGTTGGCGTCCTTCCACCATGGGATTGGGATGGGTGGGCATCATGCAGGTGGTGCACGCTCTTCGGAAGCGCGGGGCACTACCTGACCCTCCTCTTGTTCCGACAAAGGCGGCGGGCTTTTCTAGATATTGCCTGTATCAAATCTGATCAGAAACGCAAAGCAGCAGGCCTCATTAGCGTAGGTGCGATCTTGAAGAGCTCCAAACGCATGTTGGTGCAGTGGGATCCAACCTATACTCCGAGACTATGATGCGTGTTCGAGCTGAGTGCCTTTCTACACACCCAGGGCCACGCAGCCAAGATATTGGTGTGCCCTCCATTTTGCTATGCTCTTGGGCGGCCATTTGTCCTTTAGCGTTTACATCGTCGTGCTGCTATACTGGCGTGGAGACGCATGGGACTGGAGAGCAACTTTTGTTTCATTCTTTGTTTTCGAAGTCTTGTTTGCCATTTGTTTCGGCCTCATCTTTCACGTGCTGCGGGCATATTGCCGTGCTGTCGAGACACTGCAGCAACAGCTCTGTTGGTTTACGCTTGATTCAGCATACAGCAGCTGCTGCGAAACAGACCATCCATCAGGTTTGTGCGATCGCGATGTTATTCTTCAATGCATATCTTTCTGGTTTGGATCGACCAGGAGGTTTGAGGATTATGTGCGATCGGACGTCCGCTTGCTCCTCACCAAACAGCTTGCGAATGAAGCAGTTTCATATCGGCGGGTCTTGCAGTTTACAACTCCTGTCCTGTGGTGGTTTGTTGATATGGCCGGATTACATACACTGAATCACAGAATCTGGGTGGTGGTTTGGACTTTATTTTGCCTTGGCCTTTCCCTCGAGTGATTAACCCATACATAGTAATCCCATGCAATCCCAAGGACTACATTTTTTCATGTGGGTTGAAACCAATCATTTTGCAGACTCCGACCAGGCATGTTCAGTTGGTTCATCATTTCGTTGACATACTGGCTGGCAATGGCGCCGGGTGGCATGAAGATTGCGCTCCAACTGAGCTATTTGGTGCGAAGACGATGCTCCAGGATTTTGCGTGTACATCAACAAATCAATATAATATATTATATAGTATATTACATAATAATACAGTATAACAGTATAGTTTAGAGGAACTTCCGTGTTACGAACATTTACATTAGCTGCAATTCTAGTTCATTGTTCTACCACTGATCTAGCTCTAGTTCATTGTTCCACCATTGATCTCTAGCTCTAGTTAATTGTTCTACCATTGATCTGTAGCTCTAGTTCATGGTTCTACCACTGATCTGTAGCTCCAGTTCATTGTTCTAGCATTGTCTGCAAGTTGCATGGAAGTGTCGCGGGAATGATTCGGTTCATACCTTTGCAAGTTGCATTTTGGAAGGACCTCTCGCAGCATTGCTTCGTTTCACACATGTGCAACTTGCATATTTCGTGGCAGGCGCAGCACTTTGTGAACCTCAAAGTGCAGATTTCGTGGCAGGCACAGCACTTTGTGAACCTCCATGTGCAGATTTCGTGGCAGGCGCAGCAGTACGCGGAGTATCTGGGGAGCTGGAAGATGAGAACTGGCGACTTTGTAGTACAACTTTAGTATGCGGAGCAATCTGTGGAGCTGGAAGCTGAGAACTGGCGACTTGGTAGTACAACTTTAGTACGCGGCTGAGTCATCTCTCGCGGCTGAGTCATCTCTCGCGGCTGGTCTGGCGCCCCTGCAGCTGAGTCATGTCTCCCGACCACCCGGCTCTCTTGAGAGGTTGACAAATTTTAGCTACTTTGCTTACTCAAAAGTGGTCACTTCGATTACATTCTGGAGACCTCAAAGCACGTGCTTTGAGAGGTTGACACATTTGAGCTAATTTGCAGTGATCATGGCTTCAAAGGAAAAAAGGAAACACGAGTGTGATGTGGCGGACAGACACGGGGGACGAAACAGGTTGAGTCCTGTATTTCGCAGAATGCATGAACAACGTTTTTTCCTGCGAGACAGTTGACGGTGGTTGCTTCGCTTTCGCTCCATTGGTCGGTTCCAACTTGTTTTATCAAAGAACGCCGCAGCTCGGCGAATCAGCCTGCCACATGCCCATTTTCTATAGGTTTATTCTTTAGGAAACTTCCGCCGCCGGCTTGCCCGGGAACTACTTGTATATATATATATGTATATTGATTAATGATATGAAGATTACTCTGTGTGATCTTATTTCATCCTCAGAAAGACATTTTTTTCGCTTTGAGAGGGAATCTGACGAAGGACCGCTAAACGCAAATACTTTCTAGGACTAGGACATAGAAACCTAATGAAACCTACATATAGAGGGCTTGTATCTATGATATTCTTCCATATTCCAGGATGTGCTTGGACATTTGCGTCTCTGTGGGACTTGCAGCTACAATTTGCCTGGTGAGTTATGGCGTTTGGATTTTCGAGATGTTTTTCACCCGTTACCTTCGCACCCAGATGGATGAACTTGCTGCTGGTTTTGTCACCTTTGGCTGTTTCGGGATGGTCACCACTTTAATGTGGCAATGTTAGATCCCCTTGTCAAACTGAAGGGCTAGGCTTTAAAACTTGACCAATGCCATTTTTCCAGAATAGTATTTGTTGAATTGTTGATACTGTATGATACTGTATATTTTCGCCGAGCAAGTCCCAGCGAATGGCACTAAAAAATCCATTTTGGGCAGCTTGGCCTTTGCATTTCAATCGTGAGACACCGAGACTACTTCTGCACGAGTTGGAGCGTCTACGAAACCCAATTCCAGTTTCTTCAGACTTGTTTTTGTTTTTTGCCGTGCATCAAGTAGCTCCAAGTATTGCGAGCCGCTACGCTGTTTAGAATGAGACAAAAGACCGTCATGGCCACCTTGGCCCTTTGAGGCAGAATCAGCTGAGATAGCTCACTGTTATCCATGTTGGATGAACTGACTGGCTAATCCGAATTTCTCTCGACAGGGTGTCAAACTATTTTCTGACAAGTCTTTGTTCATTCTGCGGAAACATTGGAGACTTTTGCCCATGGGAATGGCATTGTTCATTGTTCTATGTTACCCTGTTTTCAACATGAAATAGTTCAATTATATTCTATGTACCACATGATGATTGCGGGCTTAACATTTTGGAAGGGTCACCTTGGAGTCGCTGGGAGTTCGATGGTGGGAGTTCGATGGTGGGAGTTGCTAGTCGCTTCTAGCATCACCACCTACTTTGTAGTTGACCTTTCATCCATGAGACAACGTGGTTTCTTCAGCGCTTGGTGCTAGTAAGGTTTCAGCGACTTGCACTGTTCAAAACCCTCCTGACCCATTTAGATCAGCAGAACTGCAGCCCGGTTCACTCCAGGAGCAGCCAGAGCTGGTTGTTCTAGAGGATGCGGTGCTGTTGGCGCAGGACAACCGCCTCCATGAAGTCAATTACTGGCACTCTGACATTGAATTTGGCTGCTGGTATGTTTGTTGATTTTTTGTCGGAATTCCGCAGGTTGGCATGGCTCTCATCGCGAAGGGCGAGGATGCTCCACAGATGGCCTATGTGACCTGGGGTACTCAGGACCCCAGCGGGAGAGGTGCTCGTGGAAAGCTATGTTTGGACGGGGGAATTGCCATGGTTGGGCTTTGAGAGGAGGAAGAGGACTTAAATTTGAGTAGATTGCAATCGGTGTAATCTAACGGATCATAACAGCAGTCTCCACCGCAGATCCAATGGCTTCAAGTGCTGTCCAAGGCCCATGCATGGTGTAGGGAGAACTCGCAGTGTCAAATGTATAACCGGCACTGCAACAGGGATCTCAACTGTCCCAGGAAGATTGGCCAACGCAAAGCTCTCAGGGTGGAGGCCGTCGCTAGTAGGTTGGAGGCCATTGCTCTCAGGGTGGAGGCCATCGCTAGTAGGTTGGATGCCATTGCTCTCAGGGGAGGCCATCGCTAGTAGGTTGGAGGCCACCGCTCTTAGGGTGGAGGCAATCGCCAGTAGGTTAGAGGCCATTGCTCTTAGGGTGGAGGACATCGCTAGTAG